TCTGTAGAAATGAGTCGTTCAGCCAAAAGAAAGGAAAACGATTATTTGTTAAACGTTTCAAAAAAATTGCGATTAACGGGCTACTCAAACATTTAAACACTGAGAAGAAAACAACTGAGAATTTGAAAATAAATTGACTCTCTAAGTAGAGGTCATGCTCAGCACGTCACGTTTCTGCCACTTTACAAATCCTGGACATTCTAGAACAGCGGTGGTGAGGCCTCTATGGGGCAGCTGGCCAGGATGTTTGTCAACACGACTGTCGGAACAGTCGACCTGATGGAGGCAGATAGAACCGTCGACCTGATGAACAAAGATAGAACAGTCGACCTGATGAACAAAGATAGAACCGTCGATCTGATGAAGGCAGATAGAACCGTCGACCTGATGAACAAAGATAGAACCGTCGACCTGATGAACAAAGACAGAACAGTCGACCTGATGAACAAAGATAGAACCGTCGACCTGGTGAACAAAGATAGAACCGTCGACCTGATGAAGGCAGATAAAACCGTCGACCTGATGAACAAAGACAGAACAGTCGACCTGATGAACAAAGATAGAACCGTCGACCTGATGAACAAAGATAGAACAGTCGACCTGATGAACAAAGATAGAACAGTTGACCTGATGAACAAAGATAGAACAGTCGACCTGATGAAGGTAGATAAAACAGTCGACCTGATGAAGGCAGATAGAACCGTCGACCTGATGAAGGCAGACACACACACAACGTCACCGAAGCAGTAATTTTATTCGCCTTTTTTCCCCTTCAGTCTGTTTGGGCTTGTGTCTAACGTCATCAATATTGTTGTCTTTCTAAAAATAGGTGGGAAAGACCCCGTTTATTATGTGTCTCTTCTCGGTTTATTCGTCGCCGACTTTGTCTTTCTGCTTTAGGCCTTTTACCTTCCAGTTGCAGATCTTCTGGTCAGGTCGGGTGCCGCCAGTGCGTGGGTCACCCACCCCCAAACTGTACACGTCATTGCTGCTTATGTTTCCACGTTGTACCTCGCATCCACGCTGCTCACCACGTACATATCTCTCGCTAGATGTCTCTGTGTCGCTCTAGCGTTCAAGTTTCAGCGCCTCTCTGTCCCCATGGTTTTATGCACCCCGCATAATTTAGCAAAATTTGATCATTTTCTGCATAATCTCTGATTATTTTCCTTTATCATTCTTTGTTAAAATTAACAAAATCGCATAATTTCACTTTTTTGGGCTCAGTTTGCCTAATTTCAGAATGTTCCTTGTATAAAAGGACGGGGACAGGTGTCTTCACCCTGACACAAGCGCGCGTGGTCGTCATCTCCATCTACGTCTTCGCCCTGCTGTCTCACGGGCCGCAAATATTCGCCAAGACTCCGGTCTGGCGCCACAAAGTACTCCCAGAAAACACCACGTCTTTATCTCTCGCGCTGACAAAATCCTCCAACTTCGAGTCGCTCACGTTTCATAACATCGTCAACAGAACAGCCGTACCTTACTGATGCCTGGCCATCTGCGTCCTGTGTCTGGTTGTCTTGTCGGTCAAGTTGAGGTCAGCCTCTGAGTTCCGCTCCCGGGCTACGACTACGAATAAGACTACGACTACGAAATCGACTACGACTACGACAATTTTTGCCGACGACTATTCTCAAACTTCCGAGAAACCGAAACCAAACCCAACCACGTCCAATCTAAACGTGAAAGAGATTCAGCTGGTGAAGGCAGTGTTTCTTCTCTACTCTATTCTCGTGTCTACGGCGACAATCAGGGCAGCAATGGGCTTCACTCTGGCCGTCTTTCCTCAACTTCAAACCCACGAGAGGTACAAACACGTGCACAACTTCTGCGTGAGTCTCGGGCAGCCTTCATGGCTTTCAACTGTGATTTCAACTTTTTTATCTTTCTACTTTTTTAACACGACGTACAGACAAACCCTGAGTTTTTCGGTAAGAAAATATAGCAGATGAACTATACTGATATTTTGGGGCTAGTTCTTTTTTTGTTTAAACAAAATCAACTCACTAATAAACTCAAAAACATCATCCTGAAGGGCTTTTTAAAACATATTTCTGGTCTTCGGTACTTCAGAAAAAAACTAGACAGAAAATGTCATATTTGCTGTAAGTACAGAGCCCCCCTAAAAAAAAGCCAGAAAACAACCAAACCAATCATCTATCAACAAAACAATTTTTAAAAAGGATAACAACAACAACAACAACAACAACAAAA